GAAGGCAGGAAAATCATATGGGCAAAGTCATGTGTAGTGATTCCTTCTCCCCCCCCCCCCCAAAAAAAAATGTCCAGCCTTGGAAATGATCGTGTTTTGTCAAAAAAAAAAAGAAGAAAAAAAAGGAGGGGGACATGCAAAATGGGACACAATTGAGGGTCTTCCCACGGGAGAGCAGTTTGCTGTAAATCACAGTCATCTGAACATGCAGCTTTCCCACATCCTGATCAGAAGATAGGGTATCTGAATACTGTCTACGGTAGTTTGCTAAAAAGGTAGGCAAGTTTGACAGCCTCAGGCCATCACTAGCTTCATGTACTCACTGGCATCTTCAGTCCTTATCTCCCGTCTCCCCTGTGTTTTGCCTGCTGAGCCTTTTGCAGCTGGTTAAATCTCCCAGCAAAAACAGGGCACTAAAAAGCAAATTGAATTAAAGCTAGCCATAGGGGTTAAGGAGAATAAGAGGCTCTTACAAACATATCTGGGGATAAAGTGCTAGAGAATGTCCATTAATTAATGAGGTGGATGAAATTATAATGATTCTAAAATGACTGATTTACTTAATTGCTTTGTAAATTGGTCTTTAACAAGGAAAGCAAAAAAGAGGGGAGGAAGAACCAGAAAGTAATGGAGACCTTGTTTAAAATCTCTATGCTAAATAGTAACTTAGTATTGTTATTCATTAAGGAGCAGAGGAGGCTTGGGCATATTGGATGTGTTCCAGTGTTGCCACCTCCTGCAATTTTTTATCGCAAGTCTTGCAATATTTATTTCTTGTTCTCCTTGAAGTCCCAGTTGCTGCAGTCATTTGGCTGTGTGAGGCACCCAGTTTTCATTTAAAATTGAAAAGAGTGTGTGTCTAGCCCTTTGTGTGAAAAAAGCACTTCAAAATACCAATTTCAAGGTGCAAAATCTGGAAGGCAAATAAAAAAAATATCTCGGGTATATACTTTTTAAATGGAAAGTCATGCATCGAGGATAGTATCACCAGGAATGCAGGTAATAACCTTAGACAGAGGGACTCTATCTTGAAAATCACTCATACCGGAAAGGATCTTGGGGTCATAGTGGACACTATGTGCTTCTATCACAATGCTGTAGCAGAAAAAAACTGATATATAACCAAGGAGCAATGGGAGAAGAAGAGAGGTGATTTTCTCTCTGTAGGTAGCCTTGGTGAGATTGTTCCTGGGATACTATGTCCAGTTCTGGCATTTGTATTTTTAGAAGGTTGTTGAAAAATTGAAGAAGGTGTAGAAAAGAGCCAGAATAATGATTGGGAGGGCGGAGAAAATGCTGTGCGGTTTGAACTCTTAAAGTCTCTAATTTATCATAAGAAAGATTGAGAGACAACTTGATTACAGTGTATAATTGCAAGAAAATACCGGATACTAAAAGACTCTTCAATTTAGCAGAGAAAGGCATAAAAAGAGCCACTGTTTTGAAGCTAAAGCCTGACAAATTCAGACTGGAAATAAGACATGCATCTGTAACAGCACGGGAAATTTGCCACCGAGGGAAGTGATAGATTCTCTATCTCGTGATATCTTCACGCCTGGATGGCCTTTTGGATGTTATACTTTTAGGTATGCGCAAGTTGTCAGGCTCACCACAAGGGCATCTGGGTAAAATTTAAGGAACTCTGGTATACAACGTGCTATCCTAGATCAGTGTTTCTCAATCCATGGGTCGTGACCCAAAAGTGGGTCACAAGAATATATAAAAGGGTTACGAACAAACTTTAAAAATGGATCAACAAACTTTAAAAATGGATTCGCCTTTAAAGAAGAAAAGCAGGGGAAACCGTGGCTTTCCCCTTGGAGGCTGGCAGAGTTACAGCTTGCAAGGGGTTGCTTGGGTCCCCCCATGCCCCACACACTGTGGGGCTGGGACCCGGGGGCAGGGGGCAGCAGGTTGGGGGCGAGGGGCACTGGGTTGAGACTAACTATCGATGTTTACAAATGGGTCCCGGTACAAAAAAGGTTGAGAAATAGTGTCCTAGATGAGGCAAGGGGGGGCTGCTCTAGCACCTCCCGGCTTCTAGCCTGAGCCACGGCAGGCATGTGCCTGCATTTCCTCAGTCCAGGGGGAATGTCTTTACTGTTGCAAACTGGTTTAGCCTAGGCAGGTTAGACTAACCTGCAAAGATTGAATCAATTCAGGCTCAGGCATTTTGAATGTCTGTCCCTAGCCCAGGAGTGGCAGAGGCCCGATCCTGCAGACAGTGGCTCTCGGTGACGTCTGTCTCTGCCAGTCAGTCAGATCAGCTGTGCTGGGACATAACCCAGCACAACTGCTCCTACCACAAGACCAACATCTGTTTGTAGCCTCAGTGGCCCTTTTTGAGAAAGGATGGATTAACTGTGCAGTGAAAAGTGGGTAAACCAAAGCAGCTTAGATCTTGATGCGGAAAGTGGAATATTCTGGTCCGTCCCTAGTCCCTGACTGAGGTCCACTCCCTTTCTTTGCAGCAGAACAATGCACCGTACTTTTGCTCAGGAAATGGAGGTGAAGCTGAAAAGAGAGGAACCTACAGTCTAGAAATAAAGATTAAAATAAGATTAAGAGCTTCCCATGCAGGGTTTTTAGTATGACAAAGTCCTGCAAAGTGTAAAGCTGTGTTCTGAGTGCAGGTCTGCTCTGTAACATCTGGAAGGGAACATAAGGGACACACGAAACCCCAATCTTGCCAGAAGCCTGGGAAATCAATGAGCCCTCCTGGCACAACAGACTGGAGGATTGTGGCCACAATCTGTAGATGGTATTAGATTGGGAAATGTTGTAAACCCACTGTTGTTAGATAAAGTAATGCCAAACCTGAGGAGGTTAGCCAATAATAAAGTGAGATTCAGCCTGTGCAAGTGCAAGCCAGCATATGCAGGGAAAACGTTTAATGAGAGGAATATTTGGGGAACACAGTACCGGTCAGCACTGATGCTGGATAACGAACCAGCCTGTGATATGGTGCTGCCAAGCCAGCATGATGTTTGGGGCTTGTTGGAGAGATTGTGCCACAGAGCTGGGAGGTGGTCTTCCTATCTCTCTAAAAGCTTGAGATTAAAACCTAGCTCATCCTGCCTATGCCAGTGCACCTCAGTAACACGGACAAGTGCAGACTGAATAAAATTCAACAAAAAATGTGTCTTGAGTTACGTATCAATGCTAGGGACAAGACTAAAGGGCCAGAGAGCGGCCCTCCATCATCTCCATTGTCACTGCTAGTGTGACAATCGGCCATAAAACATCGGGCTCTCTTGGAAGTGAGGCAGCGTGAGTGACCACGACACAGCGGAGATGGGAGCAGCTTCCCCAGTATGGCTGGAGCCCGTCCCTTGCCCTCAGCTGTTGGGGCGGCAGGAGTTCTCTTGACTCCGTCTCCTTCCTTTCCCCCTAGGCATGCACATGGCCTCAGCCATCCGCGGGGGGACACGCATGCTTGTGGATTTTGGAAGGGGATTTGATGTATGGTAGGGGGATTGTTTTAGAGAAATAAGCAGCAGCAGCTTCTGAAGCTGAGGGGCAGAGCAGTGAAAGGGGCTGAGGGTCTTCTCTTAGTCTGAAGAAGGGAATTGAGAAGAGTCTTCAAATACCCGAAGAGGAGGGAGATGGGTTTTTCTCTGTGGCTGTAGGGGTCTGGACTAGGAGCAATGGCCTCAAGCTTCAGCAGAGGAATTTTAGATTGGAGATTCAGAGAAACTTTCTAGCTGCGAGGGTGGTCAAGCATGGGAGATGCTGTGAAATCTCCATCCTTGGAAGTTGTCAAGAGGAGTTGGACAGACACTTGACTAGGATGGTTTAGTCGGGGATGATCCTGCTGTAGGCAGGGGGCTGGACTAGATGAGGTCTCTTCCAGCCCTGCTTTCCTATGATCCTATGATATCTGGCTGCAGAACTGGAGCTGGGCACTTCTGCCCATCTCTCTAGATCTTGGGATCCTAGCAAAGGATGCAAATCCCTTTTCAAAAGGGACCTGCGTCTCCTTCCTGTTAAGCATAGCTCCCACTTGGCCCATTCCTCTCGGCCAGGTCTGGCCATTAGCCTGAGGTATGATCCTCCTGTAAGGACAGAAAGGGCCATGGTTCTTGTAAGGGAGAAAGAAATCAGAGAGTCCTGCAGGAAGGGAGGATGCCAAAAGCGATCCACAGCCCTGATGAAGTTGCCTCCCTAGCGCCTGAGCCTGCCTTTGCAGGGGAAAGGGCTGCAGACTTCTGTCTTTAATTAGAAGCTCAGGTCTCGGTCAGTATTTGCCCATGCCGCTCTCTTCTTGCAGTGGCATCGTCCCAGGTTCTTCTTAATGTTCCCGTGGCTTCTGAAATAAAACTGGCCAACAAAACGTGGGTCCTGCGAGGCTCCAGATTTCGGCTGGGGCAGTTCTGGGAACTCAGTTTTTTTTTTCTTTTTCCTTCCTGCTTCTGCAAGGCAGCCAAACATTAAGAACTGGAACTCTTTCCGCTATCATTTTAAGGAGTCATCATTCATAACCCCTTGTCAAGATCACATTAAGCTTCTGGAGGAGTTATTACTGCCGGCTCGGGGCTAGCCACTTGATTTCAAGGCTTGCAGAAGCATTTAGGTGGATTTGGGGGCTAGGCAAGATGGGGTTTACCATGGACTCTTGGTTGTGGCCATAATGATGCAGCAGCTTTCTTTGCTCTATAACACATGTTCTTTGAAGGCCAGAGGGCAGGAGAGGCATGTTCATTTTAGCAAGGTGGCGGGATTTAAAACAGGAGAGTGAGGAATGATTTGAAAAGTTCTAGGAAGGGATAATTAAGACAGCAAACAAACCTGAAAGGGCAGCCATCTCACTGAGTTCAGCTGGAGAAGGATCCGGCCTACTGGGCCTCCTTCCCCTGCCATTTATGTGGCTTCCAATATTATAAATTGAGACCAGAATCAGCCCTGTTGTCTTCTGTTAATTCCTGCATATAACATGCTTTGCATAATCCATAATGAGCCACTGAACTGAAATCAGCTTTTACATGTCACCTTATTTGTAGTCTGCTGGAAACCATGTCTCACTACACAGATGAACCCAGATTTACCATAGAGCAGATAGACCTGCTTCAGCGCCTGAGACGTACGGGAATGACCAGACATGAAATCCTCCATGCCTTGGAAACTTTGGACCGTCTTGATCAGGAGCATAGTGACAAGTTTGGAAGAAGGTCTGGCTACGGCGGCGGTTCTTACGGCAACAGTACCAACAACGTCCCAGCATCTTCTTCGACAGCCACAGCTTCCACACAGACCCAGCACTCTGGGATGTCCCCATCACCCAGCAACAGTTACGACACCTCCCCACAGCCTTGCACTACTAATCAGAACGGGAGGGAGAGTAACGAGAGGTTGTCGGCATTCAACGGGAAGATGTCTCCCACTCGCTATCCGCTTGCGAACAGCTTGGCTCAAAGGTCGTACAGTTTCGAAGCATCGGAA